CATTTTGTAGGAGTCTGTTGTCCTTGTAGCCTCGGTAAACGGTTATGTCAGCCTTAAATTGGAAACTCTTGACGACGGCGAAGACGACTTTAGGAGATTCAATGATGGAGTCAGACTCCAAAACTGGGCGCCCCCTCTTTGTCTGTACTTGGGGGCCCACTTGGAAGGTGATGCTTTCGACACCAGGGTGTCGTGACGCTGCTTAGTCTGACACTCCTCGGATGCCTCGGGGTCTCAACGTCTGCAGTCCCTTGGCCGATCGTTCGAGGGGGTCACTTGGCGCCTTGGGGGCTAGTCCCTCGGTGGAACTACAGGGTCCTGAGACTGCTGTGGATGAGGCGACAATGGAGGCGATTGTCGGCATGGTGAAGGCAGAGGTGGGACAATTGGGGCGGTGCTAAGATGCCCATCGATTCCTGAGAGCCTTGCTCGTCTCACCACTGCAGTGGCTTCCATAGTGATGACGGTGATGGGAGGAAGGTTGAACATATCATCAGGGGAAGGAGTGCGCTCAACATCCCGGTCTGGATCGACTTCAAGGTCTTCCTCCTCTCCCTCTGAAGAAGAACTATCCTCCCAGATTGAAGGGTCGAACAAAGGTGGAATCTGAGAGAACCTAGAGTATGTGGGGTGGTAGCCGAGAAGAACGTGCGCCGCCCGAGCAAAGGGATCCGCCGGGTTGTGAGACTAGACTCCCACCAAGTCCTCAAAATTGACTTGGGACTTTAAGGGTTGAGCGGCGTTGACTTTGTATCCGTCTGTAAAGAAAAGATAGGAATAGTTAGAAACAGTAGTAAAACGCCGAACAGATTAAAAGTTTGTGCAAAACACACCTGGATCCCTCGACACTTTGGGGTAGTACAATCTGTCATACTCGGGCCTATTTCCTTTCTTCCAACTGCCGTCAAGCATAATCAGATCATCAACATACCCCTTATCTGAGTCCGACATGTGGGTCACTTGGTATATGTAGGTGTCCCGAGCATGAAGGTAGTACCTGCCTCCGACGACTAATTTTAAGTCGTAGTAGAACAGGATTTCGTCTACCCCAAGCTGAGCGTTGAGGGTGACTATGCCCATTACTATTTTATAAAAATTAATGCCGCACTGAAGGAGGGAAAAAGACTCAATTGCATTAACATCCTAAGTAAGAGGGGATGCAAAGGGAATGTCACCCCTCCTTCTATAATGACTTTGGTATAGAAGGGCATCATCTCTACACTCCCTATGTCCCTCCTATGGAAGTCAGGATCAAAAGGAAAGGTAAGAACGGGCTCAGGGATGTCATGTTTATTCCTAAAGGTTTGGATGTTGTCTTCATTTACTTCGGTTTTTCTCAACCTTCGGTTACCGCTAGCCCTGACGGGTGCCCTCACCGCTGTTCCACGTACTCTAGCCATGGATGGAATCTAGGGGAGATGTAGAAGAAGGATGGGAGAATGGGGAAGAAAATCAAGAGGAAAAAGTACTTACAAATTGGAGATCTTCAAAGACGAGTGCTCGAGAGATTAAGTAAGAGTGCTCGGTAGACTAAAAAGGAGTGGTCGGGAGTTAATTGCTGAAGGGGAGTTCGAAAATTCAAAGTTTGGAGATGGCTCTACGATCTCCTATTTATACCCAGCAGCAGGATCGGGAATCGAATGAGCAAATCATCATTTACGAATTTGAAAAATTCAGCGCTGGACATGTGCTTCAACTTTAATATTGTAAATCCAAGCGCAGGTTGAGTGAAGTAATATAATTCTCGGAAGACCGAGGTCGAACCCTCAAGGAATTGAAACAAGAAAACAATCACACAAATATTTAAACAAACTTAAAAATAAATAATTTGTTTAGAAAATTGTTGAGTGGAAAAAATTGATTTAAATAATTAAAATAATAATATAAAAATACTAGAGCATCAGGTACTCTTTCTCAATTCCATACAATAATGATTAAAGACTCAAATCTTAACTTGAGACAAGAATCAGATGTTGGTTGATTTGAGTAACAAATCAAGTAAGAAAATCAAAAGTTATAATCAAAAGATTATTCAGGAACCTGAATAATTATCCAATTATATTATTTTATGAAATAATGATAATTATCTTAAACGTGAAATAGCCAGTTATTTATTTGCAGGGAAATTCAGGCAATCGATGTACCTGGTTTAACGACTCAAAGATTTTTACAAAGCAAAAACTTTGCTATAAGATCAGAACTTAAATTAACAAAATATCATAAATCATTAAACTCAGAATCAATAATATTATCGTACTTCATTGAGAGGTTCTCCCCTAGCCTTAGCTTAGCCTTCTAGCCAGATATGACGAACTAAAATAAAAATAAAAAGATGGGAAAAATAATAATAATAATCTCTAAATGAGAACCCTTATTTGTACTAAAAATTAATTCTAAGTATAGGTAGAAGATATAAGGTTGGTTTGGAAGAAATTCCTTTCCAAAAAGAAGTCTTGTAAGGTTAAATTTCGTGCATAAAATCTTTGGGGTGTGGGTACAAAAACTGTCTAGACTTCGATCTTGGATTTTGCATATTTAGAGGTTGATTTACGAAAATTTTGTGAAATACACTTTTTGTAGCCCTTGAAGTCTTCTTTTCAACCTCTAAAAAACAAGTAAATCGGATATCAGAGTCAAAAGTTATGATAAAAATACTGAAAATGTGTCAAATCTTTATCTTCTAGGATACTTTCCTAATCCAACTCTAAATAAGTTTTCTTCCAACTTGGACTCTTATTAGGATTAAATTACTGTCATATCTTCAAGTCTTCCTAATTTAATCTTGACTCTTCAATCCTTATTAATTGTGATTGTTTCATTTGTCTTATCCATTATTACTTTAAATCAACTAATTTACTTGCAAAATAAAGCAAACAACTAGAAAAAGTATCAAACCAAAAAATCAAGAAATTTAACACATTTAATCACAAATAATATACAATTAATTAATCATTAAATATAATAAAATAATAATTTTGATGGTTAATCAACATGCAAGTAACCGCCTCTATAAATTAGGCATGTTCAGGAAGCCTCCACCCTCCTTGTGCCACTTGTCCCACGCCACTAGAAAAATGAAGGCTGGGGGACAGTTGACTGGACTTTAGGCGGCTTAGTGGCCCCTAGATTGACATGTGTAATGACATAGCTGTTACGGAACTCAAAAAGCACCAAGAAGTGGCGCTGAGGAGTAATGACTTGAAGGAGCCAAGTACACAGACTGACACCAGCATTTAAGGTGACTTGACAGCTCATTTATGGAGATGTGACGGGGACAGGGCTATTAATGAGCCCCTGCATCCTTGAGACCCAAAGCAGCAGTCATGATTGCGAAACATTAATGGCTATTGCGCCGAATATATCTCTTCGGCGCTCCCTGAGGTACTGTTCCTCTGAACATTGAACGCTAGGGGCTAAGCGTCAAAGCGCTGGTCAGAAGACTTGAATGACCGGGGATAGAGCCATAAGTTCTCGGTATATCCCGAGCAGTCACCTTATCGCCCGAGTGAACTAGGCTCAAAGATCTGGGTGAAGAACACTCATTACGCATGGGTAAGAGTGCAAGTCATTAAATATTGAGATGAGACTTCAAGCCTTGACACTTATTACTAATTCAGGTATAAATACTCTTCAAAAAAATTAACTAAGGTACAAAAAACTAAATTGAGAAAAGAAATACATTGTGCTCAAGCCTCCAAATTTATACTAACTTAAGCTTCGGAGGGAATAAGTCGGGTGTTCACCTGGCCCCTTTTCTGACCTTGTGGTTGTTTCAGGTTCATCATCAAGAGGATCGCTAACTCAATCTATTGCAAGAAGTCTCCCATGCACTTTGTATCAGTTGCTATTGTGGCTGGGCATTAGCTGGCTGTCATTGTAAATTCTGAATAGTTGAAAAGTATTATGTTTAGATGCACAGAGTTATTGTCTGTGAAAGATTGCATAACTGGCATGAAGTCTGCGTGACTAATAGGACAACTAATGCCGGCAAAATTGCAGCCACTTGAGCATATTCTCCAGAGTGACTACTCCCATCCATTCGAAGTCGTCTAAATCACCATTCACCAAGGTTACTATTCACAATCCTTAATTTCTTAATAGAAGTTGTGTTTGGTTTTGACTTTGCATGTCCTCTGTCTTACATAGCTATTTGAACGATATCGGATGGTGTGTTACAGCCTTTAGGCCAATATGTGAAAATCTCCTATTTAAAGCAAACATCCATCCATTTGTGTAGGTGAATTTATAGGACAAGACTTGCACTAATAAATTTTAAAGGGAATAAAGGAGAGCCTTGATAACTTCTTGTCCAGGAATGCATGAATGTTTCCCTTCTGAAGATGCCAACAGCTTCCAAGTTCGGTGTGAACCAGTAATTTAATATGAAGCAGACTGCAATAAATTTTTTTGTCCCCATCAATTGGTGGCCAGGAAAACAATACCAGTGGATCTTTTATCCAGTCGTTGTGGTACTTTGCATATGAAATTATGCTGGATAAATGTTTACATTTTTACCTAATCTGGCAGCATTGAGCATTGGAAAATAGAAATGTTGCCTCTGAAAGGAACAATTCCCTGTAGAAATAGAATTGTGGCCTCTAAAGGAGATCTCAAGTCATTTTTTTTTCTTTTTTGTGCAGTCTTTAACTGAAAAGGATAACATTGTGCTGATCTGTGTGATTAACATCTCAGTGAAGTGTGAAGAACAGGTCATCTTTACTTATCTGAAAGGGGATGGAAGTTCTAAGGATGCAGTCATGATATTTGACCTTCAAAACTGTTTCAAAAGCACACAAATTGTGTTCTTGGCACATTTCTGAACAAACAGCCCCCTAGCAGAGTTAGCTTACAAGTTACAAACAACATGAATAAACTGTAATATGGGTTAGGACATAGGCACAATAAGGCATGAACTTTATCTTCTCTATATATGAACCATCCTGAGATTCATACATTGTACCGGGAAATCATACACAGATTGCTAGAATTCCAGTGAAAATATGAAGTTTTTTCACGAAAAGGCAATGCCATTGCTGGTTTTATTGGGGGTGATGGCAGTTATGGTACAGGAAAGCAAGGGCCTTCCTTGTGGCAGCACTTTCTTCTCTGCACTGGTTCAGCTAATACCTTGTAGGGCAGCAGTTGCTCCATTTAGCCCCGTCCCACCAACCGAGGCTTGCTGCACTTCCATCAAAGCTTTGGGGCAGCCTTGCTTGTGCACTATTGTTAATGGTCCTCCAATCTCTGGTGTTGATCGGAACATTGCCCTGGAGCTTCCTGAGAAGTGCACTGCTAACTTTGAACCTTGTAACTCTCTCACTCCTTCTCTCATCCAATCTTGTAAATTCCATTGTAAATTTATTTTCTGCTTTCTTTTGAATCCTCCATAAAAAAACTAGTCATTTTTTTATTTATTTGCTTATATATATGTATGGTTGTCCCTTTGGTTGCAGGTGGACTCGCGAAATAAGATTAGGCAATAGAGCAGGACAAGTTATGAAATAAGTGCCCAGAGAGCTGCAGTGAGCCTCTCTGTAGACTGATTTTTAACTCTGCCAATAATAAGTTGTCGAATGTCGAAATTATGTACTAAATTCTGTAGGTTTTATCTTTGATATTTGGGTTGTTCTGGTTTACTTTTTCTGTCTATGGTACTGAAATAGATATCATACACATTTGAAGTCAAGATGAATGTACTATCAATAGCTTAAGGCTTATTTCTAGTTCTCATGGGGCATACCCCTTTTGAGTTTATTCAATTGTGCAATTCCTCATACAAATGGAGGGAGGCATTGGAAGGTGATTGAAACACTAGAGACGTGGATTACCCGAGCTAATGATATAAGCAAAAATACTTTCTCGCCAAGCCTAACTATTACCAACCTCATAGATCTGACTAAATCTTAGGCACAGGGGAATGATGCTTGCTTTACTAGGTCATCATAAGAAAATACTGCTAAATCACTTGGAAGTGAGGGAAGGCGCAGTAAAACTATAGCCAGCTGAAAAGGTGAAAAATAAAAAAGGAAGTGTTGACAAAATCTGAAAGGTTAGCTGATCTAGCAACCAGAACCACAGATTGAAACCCCAAAAAAAAAATGCCATCTACATGAAATATTCCTAAAATTTCACTATTACTTGCTTGAGTTGAACTAATAGACTTTCCAGTATAATCCATGTGTTTTGCAATGAAGATAAACTGAAAAAAAAAAGTATTATTACCATCAAACCTACCAACTGTTGAGTAACTGTATGTAGGGGTGTTAATCGAGCCGACCTTTGCAAACTTGAGCTCAAGTCAGTTGAGCTAATTTTTCTAAATGAATCTAAATAATTGTTCAAACTCCACTTTTTTAGAAAATGAGCCGAGTTTAAGTAGCTCAACTATTTTATACATAAACAACGAGTTTTCGAGCTCAGGCCAAGCCTTTTTAGGCATCTTTTTTTAAACGAGCTTAAAAAATTATCTAAGCTAAGCTCGTTTAGAACACGAGTCAAACTCGAACCAAGTTTTATCTGAGCCGATACCAAGTAACTCGTCTCGATTAACGTCCCTAACTACAAATGAAGCTCATGTCTCAGTTCCCAAGTTCTAAACAAAGAAGAAAACAAGACTTCACAAAATTGCATGAAAAATTAGGTACTAGGTTAAAAATCACTCGATTTTGAAAATAGAGATCGAAAATCATATGTTTGGGAAATAGCTCCGTTTCTATGACCATATGAGATAGTTTTAAAAGAATCACATAAAGTTCAGATCTATCGAGCAAAATCAAGAGGGATTGAAACCCGAAAGGATGGACAAGTTGGCCATGAGCCTACCATACAAAATTGGAGGTACCGAGTTTGAGTCTCCTCTTACGAGTTACGACCACCAGTTAGAATTTATGGAGTAATAGTTTGGTGTATGTAGGATTGGAGACAATATGTCCGGGATGATTAGTAGGGTACTCTTTTGAGATAAAATATCCATATATGATCGGAATTAATTCTGAATATAATGTATTTGGTGCCTCATCATAATTATTGAGACCTTAGTATACTATAAAACATAAGAAAATGAGACCAAATTGGTCATAACACTACAAGGCAGGACATCTAAATCAAATGATTGTTGACATGTATCTATGATTAAAGCCTGAAGCCCTAGCCTGAATAAGTTCATCTGATAAAGACTCGTACTCAACACCCATGAATAACTTAGATGACAGAATCAGAAAGGATGGCACATGGAAATAAGCCATTCCACATGATTCTCAGTCCTAACAAAATAAATTGGCCCTTTTTGTTATTTAGAAAGTACCTAATGCACGAGATTCCCATCATTGCAGGGTTTGGAAAGGATTAGATGTGTGCAACCTTACTCCTCCCAACAGAAAGGCTGTTTCCGTGGCCCTTTTGGTTATTTCTAGTCTATAAACTTGAGGAGTTATGTTTTGAAAATGTACACGACTCAATCATTGAAATGTTTTCTTTCTTTCTCGAAAAGATCCACTTAAAAGAATTTTGCTCCACACAAATATTAAATATTACTTTCCTCTCAATCCCTCTAATGTTGGACCTGAATTCAAATGAAATTCATCATTGAGGGAATTAGTCTTCCAAGGGACCCCAATCCTACCACTCAAATCACCCTGCTTAAAAAAAAGTGATGATAATGTCTACATACATTTGTCATATGAACTGAAAATCAAAACTAACGATCAATAAAACCCAATTGTTTTTTCCTTTCCTTTAATTTTGCCTTCTTGACAGTCAATAAGTAGCAAACTCTTTGCCCCAACCTGTCTCTTTGAACCTTGCCAATACTCAAGAGTGTTACAACCACTTTTGAAAACCCAATCTTACTCTTCTTTTATTTAATATCACACCTCATAAAGGGTGTGGAACTGAACCTCCCCTTTATATATAACTCTTCCCCCTGTTATTGGAGCCAACATAACCTCAACTATCACATCTTTCAGAACTCCATACCTCAACCTCATGGCACTGTTTCATCTTTCCCTCATCCTGGTATTTTCATGCTGGAGTTGTGGTTTTTCCGGTACCGATGCTGCAGTTTTCACATTGCAGAATAGATGTGAGAGGACTATATGGCCAGGGATCCTATCAGGTGCTGGAAGACCTCAACTAGTCAATGGTGGGCTTGAGTTAAAACAAAATGAGAAAATAAACATCAATGCACCTAAAGGGTGGTCAGGCCGGTTTTGGGCTCGTAGCGAGTGCTCCTTTGATCGATCTGGCAAAGGTCGCTGCATCACCGGCGACTGTGGAGGTGTTGTACAATGTGCAGGGGCAGGTGGTGCACCGCCTGCATCGCTTGCTGAGTTCACCCTAGATAGCCCCCTTGACTTCTATGATGTTAGCCTTGTTGATGGATTCAACATTCCCATTTCAATAGTACCATCCGGTGGATCTGGCAATTGTACCGAGGTTAGATGTCTTTCGGACTTGAACCTACTGTGTCCTAGTCACCTGCAAATAATTTCAAACGGCCGTATCGTAGCGTGTAAGAGTGCATGCATGGCTTTCAACAAACCGGAATACTGCTGCACTGGGGATTATAATGACCCCAAGAAATGCAAGCCTACAAGGTATTCTGAGGTGTTCAAAGCTGCTTGCCCAACAGCTTATAGCTACGCCTATGATGACGCCACAAGCACTTTCACTTGTGATGGAGCTAATTACTTGATTACATTTTGTTAGATTAATATTCGAACAATCAAATTGCTCCGTTACAATCCAAATCAATCAAAGAAAGCAGATTTGATGAGTTATGAATGAAAATTTGATGGTTATATACATGCAAGTCATGTGATTTGATAACTCTGTTCAAACAAATTCAGGCAGCTTTCTTTTATGAGAACATCAAGATTTATGATATCTTGCTTTTGTTTATTTATGGATGGATAGGGCAGTTGTGACTTGGACTTCTGATGGACATAAGAAAGTTGGATTCAGAGATAGAACTGATAATCGAGTCAAGTTATTTAGACTCAGTTCGAATTCAACTCATATAAAACTCAACTCAAGTTAAACTTGAACAATTTTTTAAAGTTATTTAAAAAAATGAGTTCAATGGACTTGACTCAAGCTCATAAAATTAAACTCGATTATCATCCCTATTTAGGGTCACCACGTTTGAATCGTCAGTAGCTAAGATTTGCCTCTCTCACCCTGCAAACACCGATGTATTATTGAGTGGACATGTGAGAGTCGATTCTTATCACACGATTGTGTCAACTTTTGACTATTCGCACTCTAGGGCATGAATTTTTGTATATATACCATGTGATACCTTCCAGCACAATGATTAGAAAACACTATACATTGGTGAATTGCACATTCTCGCTGGGGGTACTTCATGGCCTCCAGAAGCATTTTTGCTAATTCTCCATAACAGTAGGAGAGTGAGGATTGAACAATAGGAGAGAAACAGTGAACTTTCTCCAATTTGTTCATTGCACTGTGTGAAAATATTGTTGAAGCTAAGCTTCAGAAATAAAGTAGCAATGAATCACCACAGTACTTTCACCCTGTAATTCACACAGATCATTTGATCCCAGCCGAAACCTTCTAACCACTGCTTTGATATACTCCCATTCGTCACCTTTTGTCCACGAGTGACCGAATTTTGGATCTTAATTAGATACCTAATTCATTGTAGTTATTGGTTTAGTTGTAACATATGTTACATGGAATCCACTTGTAACCGAAAAGTTGCAACTGATACCTTTCTTAGTGGAAGATTGGAAAGGAAAAACTAGAATGGAATTTTTTGAAATCACTCTAGAGTGGATTTGAAGTGGGATTTATGAGAAATTGGTAGAACAATCCCAATTGAACACAGTACATTACATAATCTACAAGGTGAATCTGAGTATATGCTATACAATAAGAATAATCTGCTACAGGATGATAACCTCTAAAAGTTTCAATCCGGGTTATAAGTGAAAATAACACCACTCTTAGGCTTCAGAAGGCCCACATTCCGCACTCCAGTGCAATGAAATGGATAAGTTACCTCTGCTTTCTTCTCCCATTCTTCCTTTCCCCTACGGTTTGTTTTTTTTGGACAAACCGACGAAGGCAGTAAAATTTATTTCTGTTTACTTGAACACACGCATTTCGTCTGAGTATCCGTGAGTGTCTACACCAAAAATAAGAAATTTTATAAGGAAAGATAAAGTTGGCTGGAGATTCATGTGAGTTTCGACTAAAAAGTGATTTCTTTGGTGTACCTGGACCTGTTTCTGAAGGTCTTTAATGTACTCAACTGCCATATCTAACATATCTGCTGTATTTGTTTGCTGCCAATGGAAAAAAACGTGACTTTCTAACTATCTCTAGTAGAAGAAATGAATTTCAAAAATAGAGTCTAAAAACTACCTTGTCCATGTTTGGAAAAAGATCTTGCAGCTTTCTCATTCTTTCGCTTATCCGTGTTCTTCTCATCTGCAATTTGTAGAGCACAAATGAACACAATGGCAAGTTCATGCCGGTGCTTAATTCGTTTTGAGTAATATAGAAATATAATTTTTGTTTGATCTGAGTGAAATAAAAATAATTGGGATACAATAGGTAGAGCTTTACCCTTTCTGCAATGCTTCGTGGGTGAGTGGCGAAACCCCTTTTGGCTCGGATCTTACAAGGAATAGAATCTTGTTGAAACTGCAAAAACTTCTCTATGGCAGCCATCTCAGCAGAAGTTTTTGGCAAGCTCAAATGGTGAGTCAAACCAGGATTGTTATTTCTAGAGTTAACATTCTGATAAGAAAAGGTAACATCAATGACTGAAGAAACAGAAACAGAGGACATAAAATTTACTGATAATTAAGGAATGGTACCTCAAATTCCAATGAATTCAAACTAGGAAACATCTTCACATCACCATCCCTGTTTCTTTTTAAGCTCTTAAATGTAGAATCATTCCAAGAATCAGTTAAAATGCTGGGGGCATAACATCCATCGGTGTTGGTACCACTCCTCAAGTGTCCATTCTCATGGCTACCTGTCCCTATGCTTTCATTTACATTTCCAGCAATCTGATGCATGAACCTTGAGCAAGAAGATGGCCCGGATGAGAAGTTGTTACGATTATTCAGTCTGACAGTTGAACAACTGGTTTCTCCATAGGTTCCATTACTAGCTCCCGTCACAGAAAATCCTGAAATTGATAGAGGAATCTCAGCAACCCTAAATTAATCCAATGAGAAATGATCAATTACAAATCGCAAATTGCTTGAAACATTTATTAGATGCAAAACATGAGAGCTCCAATAGCTACACTAAATCAATTACTACAAGCTGAAGATTCAAGACTATGTAAAGCTTAAATTCTTAAAGACTTTGTAGCAAGGTGGTGCTGGCATGAACAGCCATTTTACACATAAGCAAACCAGTTACATGTATACCCAATTCGTTCATCCCTCCCATTCATTTTCAACTCACCAAAAAAAAGTGGGTAATGATCATTTTATCTCCCATGCCCAAAATGGAAAAAACAAAAGCATCATTTAGCAGTATTTTTACTCTTTCCCCACCTTTTCTGATCAGATCCAAAAGAGGCTAAAATTCAATTCTTTTTTTATTTTTCAGTCAGGCGAAGGGGACGACCCGCGACTTTAAAGTTCAACCGCAGGATGGCTAACCACTAACCTCAAAGTCAATTCTATTTACTGTACACAAATGGTAGAGATCTCTGCTGGTTTAACTTTTAAGCACATCCATTAAAGTACAAATTAAGAACTTTTTTTACTAAATTTGCAATTCAATTAATTTAAAGTAAATCGAAATTGTTAGTTAAAGCAAGAATAATGGAGTACCAGAGAAGAATTCAGCTGGAGAACTACTCTGCCTGATAAGATTGGAGCAATTAGCATTAGGAGTCCTCAGTTCTATCGGACTTTCCATCTTCACAGCAGAGTAAGACCCAACATCAGCTGCAGAGGCGGAGCTCACCGCTGGTAGAGGTGGTGGCGGAGGATTTGTTTCATAAATCATCTCCGAAGCAGAAGAGGAGAATCCATTATTAAGTTGTGAATCAGATAATTTATTTACTTGCTGATTAATCATGGACTTGGATAAGTTCAGATTTGAATCCAAATTGATTGGCGGCGTTGCGAACACAGAGTCAGATCCAGATTCAGGACTCGTCACCGATTGAGGGTTGAAATAATCACTACCACTACCATTGCCAAGAATTTCAGCAAAGAAGGAGCTCGGATCAGAGCGGCACCACATTAACTCCGAGCTCTGCTGTTGTTTCTGATAATCACCATGATACAGATCACAACTTATTAACTCTTTGCTCTTCAACGACTCTTCTTCCACAAACGAGTGCTTAAACCCAGAAGACGAAAACAAAAGACTACTACTAGTCCTGTCTCTCGGAATCGAGGCTGAGCTATACATAATCAAGAGAGAAAGAGCAGTCCTAAGAATTTCGATTGGGATCACAATACACAAGAAACTGCTTGCAATTTTCACTACTGTTGATTTTTTTTTTGGTCACTCTAACTTCAAACAAATCCTGATAAAAAATAAACCTCCAACGAAATGATTTGAACCCAATAGCTTAATATGAACTCAATAGCTTCAAATCCTGATTGATTTTCGCTTCTTTGCCATGAAAGGAGCTCTGGGTAGTAATATTTATGGCGAGAGGGAGAGAAGCAGAGGAGGAGGAGGATGAGAGAGAGACAGAGATTTCTCTTTTCTATTGTTTTCACGTCTGTGAAACCGAAAAATGACACCAGTGAGAGGCAACTACCTTTAGACTGGTGACTCTATCCTGTATTTATTGACTATATTTCTTCAAATTGCCCTCATTCTTACTCTGTTATTACGATGCCTACCATTGTAGCTTAGGCCTATGTCTATGTCTATGTCCGTCCACGTCATCTTTTGGAAGAATTATGTAAATAGTTGAGCAAAATTAATGAAATTTAAGCGGGTTTCTTACTAATACTCAATTGATAATAAATTATTAAAATATTAAAAGAGATCTAAATCTATTTACAAAATTTTGTTATTATACTTCTTTTTATTTATTTATTTATTTTTAAAATATTAAAAGAGATATAGATCTATTTTCAAAATTTTGGTACTATAAATAGACTTCTTTTTATTTATTTATTAATTTATTTTATTTTGCTTGACGTTATCTAAAACTTTGAAGCATAAACGGCCTTTTGCTTTGCTTACGGGTTACCAAACCTGACCCTACCCTTTGGCGGCTCTAATGAGTGAATGGGTCAAAGAACGATACAACAAGCAACTTTACATGCTATGATTAATTTTTTAATTAACATCAAGTAATTATTAATTATCTCTCTAAACTAAAATCATCCCCCTTCCCATCTCTCTCTAAATAAATAATTCCCTCTCTAAGCACTTATTTGTTTCCATAGAAATGAGCAGTAAATTCGTCCGTTAAATTTTGACAATTTTTTGAGACCAGATCATGAGAAATTTATCCTTTATGAATACTCTAGTCCTTGCGTGCATGACCTGTTTTTGACCAAATCAAAGAGAAAATTAATCAAAATGTACAAAAACTGACTCAACACCTTCGCCAGATGAACCCAAAAAAAAAAAGAAAAACGAAAAAAATAAATCCCATTTCCTCTTTCAAAATTTCATCTCTCTCTCTCTCTCTCGACTTGACTTGACTTGGGATGTACGTCTTGACTTGTCAGCTCTTCGGTTTCATTTTTCATGATTCCATAATTCTAGGTAGGCAAGAAAAATGAAAGCAAGTTAGCTGAAAGAAAAGAACAAACAGAAAGTCTGCAGCACAAGGTGAGCAGAAGAAACGCAAAGCGTTAAAGAGAAGGCATTTGATCTAATAAGCATCGCAAATTACATCGAACATATCGTTTTGGAAAGCATATGCAAGTTTTTTTTTGTTTTTCTTTCAAATTATAGTTTTTTCATAGTAGTTCACTTTAAGGTGTCTTTAATATGATATATTTTCTCATAATTACATATGGTTTAAACTTTGGTAAGTGTTTGCATTGTTGAGAACTTACATGATGCAATTTCTCATTAATTTGACTAGTTAAATTAAAAAATTAGTCACCTTTTTCATCTTGGGATGCCCATAAATAATTGTCACGTTTATATAAATTTCCAAACTTGTATTTAATAATTGGCTTTGAAACATTTGAAAAAGTTATTGTCGACATGAATATTTATTTCTTAAAGGGTATTAATGAAATAATATATCTTTTTATTTGGTGTAGTGGCATTGATTACAAGTGATGCGATTTTGACCAAAAATAATTCAATAATTTTCCTGATCAATTCAATTGTTACCATGGTGTTCTTATGATAAATAAATTTTTTGTGTGACACCCCGATTCCTAGGGGTATCGTTTTACATTTTTTTATTTGTGGATACACTTATTAGGGGTGTCAACTGTTGTCAACTTAAGCAGGTTTGTATCGGGTCTAATCAAATTTGTGGAAGAATCTTTTAACACGTATATAATTCGTTTATTAAACGGATTATACGACACGATTAGTTCAACCCGTTTAATAATTTTTTTTATTATAATAAAAAAATAATTATTAAGCTGATCTAATTGTTAAACTATATATATTATTCTAATTAATTTTTTTAAAATAATTAATAATTTTTTTATATTAATTTTATTTAAACAAGTTGACATATTTCACCTAACACGACTTTTGTTAAACAAGTCTTATTGATTCACCTTAAGTCGTTACGTATTGATTCAAGTCTACACATTTTTAAAACACATTTTATCACCAAGCAATGTGAGATAAAATACATGAATTTGACACTTTTCATGCCACCTTAACAAAGAGTTTTAAAAATACTAGGGATAATTCGTGATTAAAGATACGATACAATGTATACCAAATGGTTAATTTAGAGAAGTAAGCAGTGAACATTTCAGAGAAAGAGAGTGAAGAGTGAAGAGTGATGAGAGAAAGATAAAATTTAATGTGAATAGTTTTGAGAAGAATGTTGATGGTTGTTAAATTAGTTTATTTGAAATAGTCGATTGGATTTATTGAAATCTATCCAATTTTATATTATAGATTATAGATTTGACAATAATTTTATCGCTTAATTGAAAGAGAGTGAGAGAGAGAACTATCATAATAGGCAAAATTGATTCTCCCAACTTTTAAGTATAAGAGGTTTGTTGTTGTTCTAATGATTGTTGTACTTGTTGTTAGACCGTAAAATTACACGTCGAAATCTCGTTATTCTCTTTTCTATAACAGTAATTGACCAAAAAAAAAAAAACAAACCTCAAGTACAGGAGACTATTGACAGGGAGTCCCATAAAAAAAGTCTACCCTCTCATCTGGCATAGTTCATGATTGGCAGATATGTTATGAAAGCTAAGTTACTTATAATCTAAAACACTTACAATAAACATTGAACTAAACTCCATATGGTCAGACATAATCATGTGATGTTTCACCAAAATGGTTGAATATTTGACTCAATAAAAAAGTCAACCCTAACCTTCATCATTGAAAGAGAGGTTTGGTTTTGACTCATAGCATACAGGTTCCTTGAAAAAATTGCCAAAAATAAGTTTTCATAATAAGATGTTAACATAACACACCTGCCTTTTTTAATAACTGAAAATCATCCCAACATTGGGTTGTTGTGTATAACCTAAATCCTACGAAGCTAACGATATTTCATTAAAGTCAATGTATTCATATTAAATATCTTATTAACAATGATATTCATCGAATTAATTAGCAAGTTGATATGAAAATGTTAGGTGATGAAAGCGAAAAGAGCTTTAATTATGATGTGCGGGAGCACATGATTCCAATGGTCTCTACCTTGTGCGGGAACTAGGGAATTAACTTTGCGGGTTGATCAAACACGTCCCAAGTCAACACAAGATATTAATTAATTAAACAGAGATTTTCAATACTTTGATTGTTCTATATTTCAAAAATTCAACTTAATAATTTTTGTTATAGTACTCAATTTTTCGGAGCCTAATTCAAAATTCAACTTGAATTGTACAAACCATTTCACCCAAATAGAATTTGAAAATTTATTTTGAATTTGAATCCAATTTGTGCAACTTTAGTTTAATTTTGAGTTTGAAATTTTAAGTATGGATATTAGTCATTTTGAATTTTGGCTCAATTCGAATTAAACCCGAATTAAAAATTTTATATCTTGGATACATATAAAATTTCAATTTTTTTGGGGGGGGGGGATTCATAAGTAAGCACCATGTCTGATAATGATAAATTAGGCACGAGCTCTGTTACTCGGAAGATGAACTTCATAGCTAGAAAAGGACTTGAGCTCCTTACTCACTAACATCCACGCCTCGACTAATTCAAACCAATTGAAAATATCCACAAAAATAAGCGTTCACATCTGTTCCACTTTTGGTGTAATCTCATTCAAGTAGTAGTTAAGAATCTTCAACGGTCGATCTATAAAAAGGTAAAATTGAAAATCATTCAAGTAAGTTGACTTCTCCTGGTTGAATACAATTTCTCTCTATCATATTTTTCTGACTTTATAATCAAAAAGTCAACCACCGGAATTCCTCTTGCCTTCACCTTCTTTTGCAAGAGTACTTCCGTCGGTTATCAAGTCACAGTTCCGTTCAGCCACCACGGTCTAATGCAATGTCAAAACAGAGAAACAAGTTTTTTCAACCCGGGCGGTGGTCAACTTATATTAATTCCGGGACAATGTTGTTACCTCGTGACAAGGGAAAGAGAGAAACATTGCGTTGAAAAAACATGTCCTTGTAATTTTGAATTTAATCACTGACGTCGGTGATTAAAACTACTTCTAAAAAATTAAATGCTACTGATTTTTTGTCAATTCATACACTGTTTCTTGTAGTCATATATTTTCAAACTGGCATCGTATTCAGTACGTATCATGCTCGGGTTATGCAGGGACAGAACCAGATTTTGTTGGAGGTGGGGGGGGGGGGGGGGGGGGGGGGGGCAACCATTGGAATGAAGAGACGAATAGAACTAAAATTATCAAAATTCGTTGTGTTTTTGTGAGCAAATAACAAGTACGCCTTTAACTATCATATTTGAATCGAATTTTGTGTGATCTGAATTTAATCTGAAAACTCTGATCCAGAATTAATTTAAAAATATATTTTTAAATTAAATTTGATTATCTAATGAATTTTGTTTTTAGAGTACATATCCCAATAAGTTAAATATTAAAAATCTGACCGACTCTATGAATCAACTAAAATTGAATTTTTAATAAATTATATCTTAATTTCAATTCAGTTTCTTCAAATAACACTCAATCTCATCGTATACTCATATTCTTATATCAATCGAACTGAATTACAATCAGATTGAATTTTGGTATAGCGAACTCTAAATTTGTGAAAATTTTGTGGCCAATTCGAGCATAGATAGTTTATCAAAAATATCAATTTTTTCATGCCAACCGTATTCAGAATTAGATCGGATTCAAATCAAAATTTCATCCATCGACAAACCTAAAATTTGGATGCATGTGAATCCCATTTTATTTTTAAATATGAAACTAACTTAATTTTTTTCAAATATTTTGGTGGGGCCAAATTTATAGAGAACTTATAGATTTTTTCTTAAAATTTTGAATGGGACCCAAAATATTTTTGAAATATTAAAATTTTCATAATGCACCCTCAATTAAATAAAAATATAGTAGTGGGTTTTATTTAAAGAATTTGAGTATATATTTTATTAAAAAAAAAAAAAAATGAG